TTATTAACCTCGTTTGCTCGGTCCGTACCATAAGTTATGGATCCTCGTTTTTTGCACTTTTTTATGGCCCAAGCGCGTAGCGCGCATGGCAAGGCATTGAGATCAAAAAGAGGCGAAGCAACAAAAAGAAAAGTTGACAGCGCATGTCAAACGAGAACTGCATTGGAAGGGCTTCCTGTACGTGCCAAAAGTCATGTAGTGTTTGAGTCGCTCAAAAGGGGAAGTTTTAGTTTACTTTGAAAGAATTTAGCTAAAGTTTAAAGTTTTCTGAAATACTAGTTAACAAAAGTGAGGCTTTATTTTGCAAAACATATAAATGCAAAGCAAAAAAGGCATCAAAAGAAGACCTCAAGAACTCAACATGAGATTGAGAAGAAAACTGTCGTACTTCAAACTTCAAGATATTCACAACCAAGATGAAAAATACTACAGCCTCCCGCTTGTTTTCCTGCCTTTTATTGAGAAAAAAAACCTCAAAAACTGTCTCCAGAAATGAATGAGAAGCTTTGGAAAATTACGGCTGGCTGAACATGGATAGTTTTCGTCAATTTTCAACGCTTTGACTGTTTGAAGCAGGCCGCCATATGTACAATGGCTGAAGTCATGAAGAAGGCACACTTTCGACTCAATTAAAAAAAGGTACTGCCAACTCTCCTGTCTAAAAATACATTCAAATTCAAGTGGGGGTGAAATATTACTGAAATATGGGCATACTTCAAGAGCGGATGAGCCTAGAAAACTGCTTAAAACGTTTACGAAAGAAACTACTGACTTCTTCACCCGATCGATTCAGATAAGTTCAAACTGGACGTTGTTAGCTCACTGAAATAACAAATTTACGTTAATTCTAYGGTAAACCTATCTTTATTTCATTTACTGAATTAGCCGCTGTTCACCCACCCTATTCACACGATCTAAATGGCTAATACCCAGCTAAACTAAATTTAGATCAATGGGTCGAAGCCGTCTTAAATGATCATCTAAGTCATCTGAGCAACTAATTACATATTCATATACAAATCGACCAATCAAATCTCCGCGTTGTCTGTGGACTAGAAGAGACAAAGTCCAGGTTTGATTCTCGCTACTACACTGTAATCGATGTATCATGGCCGAAAGCAATACAAGTAGAAATCGCAAAAGAACATACAACAAAATTAACGATGTTCAGAGATCAAAGCTACAGGAGTTTTATGATGACGGCATGAAAACATGCGCTTCCGTCAATCGCGACAAAATCGATAAG